CTAAAAAATGCAATTTGTACCAGATCAGCAACCCCAAACACAGATATTTTTATGTAGTTTCATAAAGCTCAGAGGCTAAACTCCTTGGCTACCTGTATGGTCTCAGCCTGTTGATAAAGCAACTGTTTCAAGAACTTCTTGAAGAAAGTTCCAAAAGAGCACCCTTACCTCTTGGCAGCTGCAACACCAAACCTAGCCTAGATCCTGGAGAACCGAAACCTTCCTGTCTATTGCTAAACACCACAATTTGACAGTCATACTGGAAGGGACAAGCTAAAGCAGCAGCATGCTATATGTATGCTAAACAGGTGATTCACTCTTGCAAGACACTCCATAAAATAACCACATAATCCACTTCATGCCAGTAAAATTACCTGCATGTCCCTGAACTCAGCCACAAGCAGATCTTCTTTGATCTTAAGTGGATCACACTGATACAATCCAAGATGATAAAAGAAGCTTTTCCTGATGAACATGCACAGAATGCATCCAAAAGTAACTAGTAATAATAGCTTTCTCAACAACAAGCTTGCATTTATTGTCATTCTATTTGTTAAAGTTTTCACAAGTCTAGAAGATGAAAATGGTCCTTTACCCTTACTTAGAAACAGAAAGTAAAAGAAATAGAATATAATCTCTCATAGCTCCCAGTCAGCACAACAAGGCCAAGGCCATAAACTACCTCTGAAAAAGGATAAGGAATCAAGTCAGAAGGAGGGAAAAAATTATACAGGGACAGAGTGGCAAAGGTCATCAATGTAGATATCTACCATCCAAAATGTAAATTTAAGTAAAACTATTCAGTAACAATTGCTAGGTGCAAACATTTTAATGCACTGAAAAAACAGAGTCAATTCTAAACAAATTAAAGCAGAAAGAAACCAAGCAGCCTAGAAACTAAGAATATACTTCTCATTTTTGGCAGCAAGAGGAGGCAAAGAGAATTGACCAGTTTTTTCATAAGGGATTCTGGTAGACCCAACAGATACATCAGTCCCCAAGAGAGATAAACTGAAACTGTGTAGCTCCAACAGATCTCCACGAAACCTACAGTGATTCATACTCTTAAGACACAGAGCTAAACTGAAAGATAAGTAAGGATCATTAGAGATAGGACTGCAGAAAGTTTAGAGTACATGAAAGTGCTTTTGAACACGCGACATACACCATCGATCTATAACAATTACCCTTCTTATAACTATAGGACTTTTCACTTGATAAAGAAACAGCCCACTGCTGCAAGTGGAAATTGATAATGCCTTAGTCCCTTTGATATAAGTCACAAGAGAAGGCAACACTATGTCGATGGAGCCATCGGTTGCCATAACTACTGTGAAATACACAGCAAACATCAATGCAAAAGCCTGCTAAATGAAATTCTTAACCTGGCTTTTTGGTCTTCAGGATACGCAACTCTTCATGGAGATATTATTCTTGTTGCACTGTAATGCAGCACTAAAACATCTGCTTCCCACATGATTAATTTAACAAATAAGTCAACGCACAGCGCAGCATACTCTGAAACAGGACACGGGGGAATGCAATAGCCCAAATGTAGAGGCTCTCTATCAAGTTATTGTCTCCAGATTTAAAGGAGAATCAGAACAAGATAGCCACAGAAACAGGATGGTACTCATCAATGACAGATCACTGACTAGTTATAAGCTTTATTATAATCATATGGCATAGGGTTTTCTTGAAGTTTATTTTACAATCTATTACGTTTCACTATAAAACAAGACCAGCTACCAACCAAAACCACTCCAGTCTGAATTTTCCCCTGTCCAGCCACATGGGGTTTTCTTTCCCCAACATATGAACTCACTTGGACTATGAACATATGTCTACTATGAATGCTTTAGAAGTGAAGATTTTGCCTTCTTCAGAACATTATTAATTATCTCTGAAGGAGCTGCTAAATTTCATTTGCAAATAGTTGGATACCACATGGAAGACAACAACAAACAATTTTCACCAACCGACATATCAATGGATCTTAAAATCTATTCAACTTTGCCACAGCTAGAGTGTTTAATACTTTAAGAAGCAGTCACACTTACAAACTTGGTATTTTCTAATGTCTACATTACATTCTAATAGATCAGACCAACTACAATTAACTTAATCATCAAGAACACTGAAATCTGCATGAAAATCCAAAGGTTCAAAAATGTGACGATCTGATTTTTTTAAGTCAAATGAGTATCACACAAGGTACCTAAAGCAAGTCAACATCCATCTATTACACTATATTCCAGCTTTTTATAAAACCATCAGAAACAAAAACCCAACAGTTATCTCTAAAATATTTAAGTAGTAGCACAAGATTAAAACAGACATCCTCATACTCCAGACCAAACCATCTCTCGATGTACAGTGGTCACACTAAGGAAAATGATATTTCAGATTCTAAACTGGAGAGATGTCCTTTATAGCAGAGCAGTTAACTAAGACTTCCTCAGAGTGTTTTTTGAGATGCACCAAATAAATAAACTCTGAACATGGAAACCAGATAACAAGAACCAAGAGAAACAAAATATGTTCCTATAATATTCATATACAGTATCTACACAAAATTTTATCTGAGCAGACAGATGGTAGATAAAGTTCATAAGTAGGCTCCACATTTGATTCCCTTGCTATTAATAGAAGCCTAGGCTGTAGTGGCCAAGGTTATATCGGGCTAGACACACTGCAGTTTTCCTGAGTCTACCATGAAGGCCTCCTAACTTTAACAGGCACAGCATTACCTTTGTAATTGTGCAGTTGATTTGTATACACAAAGTTAAATCACTTTATCTAAACATGCCGCATTACAGCAATTCAAGTCAATAGGTAAAACTCCAAGTGTGTTTGCACACAATGTTTTTACATTGGTTTAAGCTTAATTTACTTTGTCTTGCACAGCAAACAAAGTTTCTAGTTGACTTAATTGCAATAACATCAATTCTTATCATCATCAGCAGAAGTGACCTTATGGTAAATGCAGACACCCCATATGCTGTCCTGTATTGTCCTCCTTATACATCCATGAGGACTGGAAAATCTACTGTTCAATGCCAACTGTTGTTTCTGAACAAATACTGTGTAATTCTTTATTTCTAATAATCAAAACTCCTGAAGAGACCTACCTCACACACAGACAATTTACTCCCAAATTCTACCACCAAAGGTAACAAGTAGGGTAAATAGATACAAGGAGAATATTCATACTTCTTCAGGGTTTGCATCTGTTTACACTGCAAATTTAAGCATTTTTATCTCTTCTTTATTAAACCATCTTTCTTCAAGAAGAAAATTTTAAAATAAGAAAGGTCAACTCTGAAAGCTATGAACTCCAGGATGAAAGCAGTATCAGAAGTTATTCTTAATATTCACCCTAAAGTAGTTCAATTTGTCTGTGCTCTATTAAAATCCTGCCACTAAGTGGAGCCCTAAGTCTATTCCACAATGAACAGTGAAGAAGTGACATTAAATATTTTTTCTACTTCTCAAGATCAAGGGGAACTGTTACTTCAGTGATACTGATGAAAATAGAATCACCAGAATTTGAAAAAGAACCAATAAAGAAAGAAATTTCAGCAGTAGCCACTTGAAACCACCAAAGATTAATGAAAACAAAAGGAGGAAAAAAAATTCTTCCACTGGAGGAAGTCTATCAATAAGAAAAGATTCCACCAACAAGGAAGAATGAATAAATGATGAAGGCAGACACTATGAGGAAAAAAAAGGGAAAGAAACATAAGAAACAAAGAATGAAGCTACCTCAAGGCCTAGAGCAGGAAAATGGTGACTATAGACACAAGGAATTGAAGCCAAGACAACAACATTCAAGGAACAGAAAAAAGAAGAATTAATGAAGTCTCTAAGAATAAATGCAAAAATAGAAGGAATCTTAAGATGCTGATTGAGTGACACAGAATTATAGACTGTAAATTCAAAAAAACACAAGGAGAATGTTTTAATATTTCTGTATGTTCCTGAAGTTTAGTGCCAGGTATACCACAACTCAGGATTCAACAGCATGCCATCTCACTCCAGCTAAGACAGTCAAGACAGACTATTCTAGAAAGTTAGTCAGAAGAGAGGCCTCAGTCAAGCACTCCAAAGGGTCATATGGTAAAGTGTTTAGCTCTGTGGTGAATGAACAGGAACACAAGGAACTCCAAAAAGACACTCAGTTGTGAAATTTGAAGTTAACTGGCTAGGTATTACCTTCACCCAGTAACTGGTTGACTGATCTTTCCTTTTACCATTGAGTACAAAGCAAACAAAGGAGGGTTTAATGAGGTACCACATTCCTCTTCTTCTGACCAGGCACTTCAGTCTTGCCTCCAATAGGTCTGCGTGCTTAGAGAGTACGAAAGACCCTTAACTTCCACAAAATCCTGCCTTTGTACTCAACCAAGCATTACCGAATTTCTCGATTTAAAGCTAAGGTGGCAAGATGAACTGTAGACTAGGAAATCAGATAAAAATGGCTCCCCTGTTACTCAATCTGTTCACTTTGGCTTATCTGCTCACATGATGTCCCAAAGTATTTTGACACACTTCACGGCTGGCCGTGCTAGGCCAAGGTTGCTAGCTGGAAGCTGACAGGTACTGCCTCCCATGCACTCCGCCTTATCAACTTTCCTGGAGGCAGGCACTCGGTGCAAGGGCAACAAGATTCGCCAGAGCGTTCCAATAAACGGCGCACACACATCAACAAGGCCACCTCGCCGGACCGCGGCCAGGGCCGGCGGGAGGGAAGGCGGGGCTGCCCCCCCGCTCGGCCCGCCGTGGTCCGACCCACAGCCCGGGAGGGCGAGAGGCGGCCCAGGAGGCAGCAGGTGCCCCCCTTCGCGCCCTCCCGCCGGGCGTCTCCGGGCACGGCTCCGCCGCCCGCGGGGCCGCCCCCGCCGGCAGGTGCCCGCCCGCCCCGCCGCGGCCGCCCGGAGCTCACCCGGCCTCCCGCATGACGTTGCTGTCGCCGCAGTCGCAGGCGCCCCCCGCCTGGCTCCGGAACATGTTGTAGTCGTGCCCGGCGTGCTCGCCCTGGTGGAAGCACTCGGCGCACAGGCTCATGCAGGGCGAGATGCCGCACGTCCGGCACCGGTAGGCCACGAAGTTGGCGGTCCACACCAGGCCGCACAGCGTGGCCGGGTCGTAGGCCCGCACGGCTTGCACGAAGCTGTCCCAGGGCTCCCCGCCCGACAGCAGGCAGCGGCACCACTCCAGCGCCTCGCCCGCCGCCTCGCCGCCGCCCGGGCCCGCCGCCGGGGCCAGCACCCGCTCCAGCACCGCCCGCAGCTCCGCCGCCGCCGCCGCGCCGCCCTCGCCGCCCAGCGCCGCCTTCAGCCGCGCCGCCGTCGCTCGCTTGTCCCGGCTGCCGGCGCCGGCCCCCGCCATGACGGGACACCGAGGGGCCGTTACGGCCGCGCCGGGCTCCGGCTCCGCGCTCCCCCCGCCGCCCTCGCTCCGCTCCCCGCCCCGCGGCGCCGCCCTCTCGCGATAGCCGCGGCACCGGCGCCCTGCCCGCCGCCCGCGCCCTCCCCCCGACACCGCCTCTCCCCTCCCCTGACACCACCCTCCTCTTCCCCCGCCCCTGCCCTCCCGCCGCCCTCCCAGCGCGCAGGTGCGCGCCCCACGCCGCCCACGCAGGGCTCGTGGGTGCCCGCGGGCTCTGAACGTGGTGGCCGGTCGGGGGTCTCGGCAGCCCCACAGAGCGCGGAGGGTGCAGCTCGGCCGGCCGGCGGCCCCCCACGGCAGCGGAACCCGTTTGTTACCGAGCCGCGCCTTCCGTGGAGGGGGTGCCGTGAGACGGCGCCGCCGTGTCCGGGCCGCAGGAGGCACCTCTGAGGCTTCGGGCCGGCTGTTCCACGCTCGCTGCCATGAGGCGGCCCCGCTGGGAGGGCAGAGCAGCGCCGGGCTCTGGCAGCAGCCCTGTACCCCGGGATGCCCGGGCTGTCCGCAGTCCCGCGCCCGGGGACCGCCGTGCGGCTGCCTGCGCACTCCCAGCGGGAGAAAGCGCGAGTGACCGTGCGTCACACACCGATCGGCTGTTTTAAATCTCGGTAAACAGATTTTCAGCTGTGCAGTGGAAAACGTAAGAAGAAAAATCTGTCCCTAAAGGAGAGTAACCTTCTAGGCGACAGCAACGGGCCCCAAGGCAGTTGCCTGTCTTCTGGCTTTGCCGCTGCTCCCTGCCGGCGGCTTGTGATGTGTTGCGGTTCCTTAAGGGCAGGCAGTGTGGGGCACGTGGTGTGTGCAGCGTCTCCCACCAGGATCGTAGGAAGAAAAATACGGGAAAAGTAGGTATATCTGTTACTCTCCTCAACGACCGCCCTTCCCACCGGCCGGGCAGAAGTCCTGTTCCTTGCTCTGTCCCTAAAGGGCGCTCAGCAGCGGGACCGCCGGGGGACACACCTGCAGACCGGGCCATGGCAGGCACCGAGCAGCGATGACACGTGAGGTTGCAATAAAACGTCCTGTGTTTACAATACACGACACCACAGCTCCCGCTTGTTAATTGAACTGAGGGAGAAGTCCCGCTGCGTTTCATCCCCGCAGGTGCCCGTCAGCCCGGGAAGGGGCGGGCAGGGGGCGGGGCGCCGGAAGTGTCGCGGCGGGCCCGGCCCGGCGGGGCTGCGGAGAGCGGGGCCGTGTGCGGGGCTGTGGTGAGGGGGAGCGGCCGCGGGCACGGACCTTGGGCCAGGCGAACTGGGGGGGTTGGTGGCGGTCGCTGGGGCTCGATCCTTGCCCTGCTTTGGGCTGGGCGGCGGGCGGTAGACGCGGAACCCCGGGGGCCAGCGGGGAGCGGCGCTGCCGCGGTCCGGCGCTCGTTGTCCGTCATCAGTGCGCCGCCAGCTGCATCCCGGGAAACAGCTGCATGGGAACACCCGGCCGATGCTGAGGAATCCTGGGGGATATTAAATATAAAATAGTTTAAGATAATATGTCCTCTATTTCTATTATTGTAACTGATTATGCACTATTTTCTCTAGTTAAACCTTAAACATGAAGAAATTAAAGCTTAAAGAACTGGAAAGCTGTCTTCAAGAAGTTGATACTTTTGACAGTCCAAAACTACTCCTCGAACAGTATCCAACAAGACCTCATATCGCAGGTAGAGGTGACCCACAGCACTGTTGTCTCTTCTGCTAGTTCTTCATCAGCACTTTTCATTAAAAAAGGTTTTTTCTTCTGCATTATCTCCTTTGAAGACTTTACACTAAAAGTAGTTAAGAAATTGTTTCGAACAAGAATGTAATTATTTAGAAGTATACTGGTAATGTACAATCCCAAAATCAAATAAACTGATTTAAAAAATAATGTGATAGAAGCATCTTAATGTCTAACTGCAAAAGCTGGCTTGGACTTACTTCATGACACACAAAACCAATAAAAGTGTATATAGAGACACTCCTTCATACCTTAATTGTGGGTTTTTTTTAAATATTTTACGTCCTTCTATCATTTTTCTTCAAACAAATTTAGAGGCATACTTTTTCCACAAACAACACTCAAAGCTCTATATGTAATCTCTCCAACAAAAACTGAGAGTTGTACAACTCATCAGAATGTTTTTGGCTCTTCACATATAAATGAAAGAGAATTACAGGCGGTGAGAATATCAGCTTAATTTTGCATTACAAGAAACCCTTAGTTAAGAGTTTTCTGAAGGCAGGCATAACTTTTCTTGATTAATCAGGTGTATATTTGATATTATTCACCTGTGTTGTTTTTTTTCCCCAGCGTGTATGCTTTATACAATTCACAATACTTTTGATGATATTGAAAACAAAACAATTGCAGATTTAGGATGTGGTTGTGGCATGCTCAGCATTGGAAGTGCAATGTTAGGAGCAGGGTAAGTATTTCATGCTATGTTCTGCTTATGTTTTTTTCTGGCATAGAACAGTAGAAAGTAAGATTAAAACAGCAATGCTGAACTACACTCACATAAAGTATATAATCTGGTGCATAATCAGGCTATTTAATAAGTTCTGACTGTCAATAACCATTCCTACTGTGAGTGTGATGGACAGCTGTCATGAATTTTAAAGTCATAATATTTGCTTTCCCTTGAAGCATTAAATGAACTCATGAAACTTCCTTAACAAAATTGGATTTGAGAAATGGCAACAGAACTACTTGAATTTTTATCAGCACTGAATTTATAATGTATGCTTGCTACATTTCCTAGACAAAACAAGTTGTGTACCTGGATCCCTTTCAAAGCTGTAGTTTGTAGGAGACTAATATGTGATACTTTTTTTTTTTTAATAGATTCTGTGTGGGATTTGACATAGATGCAGATGCACTGGAAATATTTAATAGCAATATTGAAGACTTTGAGCTTACAAACATCAACATGGTTCAGTGTGATATCTGTTCTTTATCTGGTAGCATGTCAGATGCTTTTGACACAGTTATTATGAACCCTCCATTTGGTACCAAGCATAATAAAGGTTAGTATTTCTTAGAATCAGTTAGAAATTATTACAAACAAAGTAGCAAGGGAAATGCTTTTAATGAAACATCTCCCTTTTTATTAGTTAGCTATTCTAGTTACCTAGCATGTTGTTGATCTGGAATCAGCTTCTTAAGTACAGATTAACAGCTTCAACATTGTAGCTAAGAGCCACTGGATTTGAAATAAACAATATTAGCTATTTCATATCCCTAGCATTTTTCTTTTACCAAAAGCAATTGGGCAAGATTTAGAAATTCTTTCCGTACCCTAATGTATTCAATACTATTTCTTAAATAGGTATTATTCCAGAAAAAAAGAAGCAAATCTTTAAGCTTCCATTTAACAATGCTATTAATTCCATCATTCTTTTAGGAATCGATATGATTTTTCTGAAAACTGCTCTACAAATGGCAAAAACAGCTGTATATTCCCTTCACAAAACTTCAACACGGCAGGTAAGTCCTTGATTTTAGTACGGCAAGCATTAACCAAGCAACAAGATAGCTGGCATTTAATGATGTCTGAAGATTCACTGGTTTGTTCACACCTTTATGGGGTATGTTTGCAGTAAATGTCAAATAACTACAATCTTACATACATCAAGATAAGAATGTGATCTAATGCTTCAGCTTGAAAATCAGAAGCACAGGAGACTTCTTTAAGAAGTACAAGGGTGTAGATGTTTATAAGACAGTGTAGAAGTGAGCTTTTAAATTTACCTGTATCTATTTAATATTCTAGCACATTCAAAAGAAAGCAGATGAATGGGAAGTGAAGATGGAAGTCATAGCAGGTAATATTAATTTGTTGTTAATGGGAAAAAAAACCCAACCTTTTGTTTGGGGGCAATACCTATAACACTACTAGCCACTCATGACAGCTTGAGGTAAATTTACTTGTGATTTAACACTGAGATGACACAGGTCTTTTTTAAAAAGACTTTTTGTTTTTTCATATCTTGCTACCTGGCTAGAATACAAGCAGGCATTTGATAAACCTCTGAGGAATACATACTCTGTGCAGAAATAGGTTTCTTCCTGGACTAGATTTTGTCTTCAAGGGGAAGTTGCCTCCCTTCCTGCTTCAAAAGGAGACGGTTGCAAAAAAAACAAAAGCAAAGCACAGGTCAGTTCTCACACAAAACGCATCCTGTCCTTAGTCACCTAAATATTTTTGGCAGTTGTATAAGTATCTTCCTTATTCTTAAATAGCCCTAGCTGGAGGCTTTATGCAGTCGTGGAATTTAAGCCATGAAGTTGCACAAGTGCTTGAAGCACAACTGCATTTCAGCCATCCACTTAACTGTCTGATGTGGACAGCTTAAATGTTCAGTCATCGTCTACTCCAGAGATCCAAAGTTATCACAACAAGCCACAACAGAGGTGGGCATTAGAAACAGAAGTACATGGATGTAGGGTTTAAGTGACCAAAAATCGTCCTAGTCTAACAAGTATTCTTTGTACTCTTCACAGAACTTAGATTTGACCTACCAGCATCATACAAATTCCATAAGAAGAAATCAGTAAGTATAAAAACATAACCGAGAAAATGCTGCGGTAAATAAATTCTCCTTACGAAAATTCAAGTTTTAGGGGCCATATGTACTGGATGAGGAATGCTCGCAGCACTCTCAAGCATCAGGTTCCATTGCTGTTACTACATTGTGTAGCTGAAGAATTGAAAGGAATCATTATAATGCCAGTCAAAGCTATACACAAAGATTAAAGCCAACCCTGTAACTAGAGGTGATAAGCTAAGGGCAGCCTCCTTGACTCAACTCCTAATAGCCATTTGCTTGATCCTATCTGCAACTGGTAATTAGACTGAACTAAATGCTGAAGGCCAGAACCGTTACAGCTGTAGCATTGTTTCAGTGTTCTGTGCAAAGACTAGAAGCTTTATTCAGCTGTACCTATGCTCTTGGTGACTTGCTGCCCTTTACCTTTGCTACTTGACAGTTACAGTGTTATACTACATTAACCAGACTTCAATGGTAAGCAGTTTGAGAATTTATTGCCAGCTGCTGTTCAAATAACCACAAGATTACAGAGTCCAAAACCTTTTACATTTGAATGAGATGCCAGAAAAAAAATCAGAGGATCTGACAGTATAAACAAAACTATAAATATAAAAGTTTTCCAGGGTTGTATGTTAGGAGTAAGCATGCTTCATAAACAAAAAGAAAGCTGTAACCCCAAAAAATGAAGCTTTTCTCTACTTGTAGGTTGACGTTGAAGTGGATTTCATTAGATTTTCTGCCAAGAAATTCCTGAACTGAGGCATGTCTTTAAAACCTATTGAAAATGGAACATTAAAACCGCTAATTTTTAAAAATTTTATTTAATTTAGTATTACTGATTGTCATCTCCATTTTCTGTTTTCAGTTGTTTTGGCGCAGGTTCTTCTTTTTCTGTTTCCTCTAGTGGTCTCTTCTTGGGACTTGCTGGTTCTGCAAGATTGAATATGTGGTCATTTAGGGTAAAGGAAAGCATTACCTGAAATCTGAAAAAAAAAACAAACAAACCCTACCATGTAAGTTCAAAGATGAGTCCTAGTTATCTACAGCCACTGCTATACTAGAGGGCTTACTTATTACTGTGACTAAGGTTTTAGATGTTAAAATACCACCTTTGAAGAGCTTCATCCCTATATAACTCCGTAGCAGGAAGGCAGGTTAGAAAATAAAGGAATACAATCTGCCAGGAGGTTTCACTGGATTTTAGTTAAGCAGGTGCCATATACAATGAACAGAAGCTTAGCTCTTGCTATTCTCCAAGCTAAATACTGACAGGTTGAACTATTAGTCTTCGCATATCCTCAAGGGAAAAAAACCCCACCCTCAAGAGACTGAGTCTGTACAGTTGTGTAAAGTAGCTGATAACCACCATCTTTCAATGCAGAATGCTCTGGAAAGCCCTGCAGGACAGCCTTACCTATCTAGTAATTATCTAAGTATGCTTTCTGGACAGTCCTGGAAGGAATCAAGCACAAGACTCTTAAAGTTACTTCACTGATACTGACAAGAGGGCAGAAATACTGCAATGCAGAGACTAATCTGAAACACTTGTAAGAAACATGAGTACTTCTGCAGAAAGTAGCTCCGTGTACTAAAGAAGCTGCACCAGTGCACAGAATGACATACCTGTTTTAGTATCATCTTCACCACCATCTTCTTCATTATCAAACTTAATTTTCTTGCCCTGAAACTGTATTTTTCCTTTTTGTGCACCCTGAGACACTTTTCCTCCTCTCCCTCTTCCTTTAATTTTGCGCCCTGTGGAGAGATACAAGATCAGGAACTTTGTATCATTTGTCTTTTAACTAGCAAGCTCAAAGGAACACTTCACAGTTAAGTCAGTGTGCAGTATATATTCACTATTTGGAGTGCCAGTTCTAGGACATTTTTATAAAGGCTTAAATGAATAAAAGAAGGGAGGACCTTTTGTTTTCTGTTTCAATAATTCTTGCTGATCTTCCAGTATTTTTTTCAGAGCTTCTTTCTCAGCATCTCCTTCTAGTACTTCCCATGCAACATCCTTGTTCCGAAGCTGTAAGTTTCCATTATGTGCTGTTTTGGCTTTTTCCAGAGCATCTTTGGCAGTATTTTTAAACAGGATAATTCCCTTAAAAAGAAGAGTGGCGTCTGCACTTGAATCTTACTGCAAAAATATTCAGCTAGAATGATGAACAATATATACCCTGTTAAGTACCTCAGCAAATTCATTACTCTTGCACGATGTAAAACATGTCTAGACTTAATCAAAGCACTTAGGCTGTCCTAACGAACATTCTCACTTTTCACCTTATCAACTAACAAGGCTGGAACTTTTATCTGTTCTTTTGGAAGAATTTAAGGAAATAATTTAATTCTCTTAATATTCTGAAATTTCACAAGACAATAGTTTACTTGATTACATAAGAGGACAAACATTTAATCATTGATTTTTGAGTTTAAGACAAAGATCTTAAGCCCTTGTCTAAGAGTCTACTGACCTCCTTTGCACCTCTGACAAAATGTATCCACTTGATTTCTCCATGACCAGAAAATACAGCATGGAGGTCTTCTCTGCACGTTTGGTCGTCCAGATCACCAGAAAACTTCAAAAGACATCCTATCTTTTCTTCCAGAGACTTCTAAATGAAATAAAACATATCCCACATTTTCATTGAATAGTCAAGCTTGAATATTTGTGTTTTCCTCCTCAATCCTAAAACTATTAAATATGATGATAAATAAGCAATTGAAGTTACAGTAACTCTAGGTTTTTTGATATGTCATTTAGTTATACTGATGTCCAAGTCTTGCACAGTGTGTCCCCCCTCCTTTTTTTCAATTTTCTTTTCTTACTATGATACACTTATGTGGAACTTAAAACTTCTTTTCCATAAGAGAGTTACACTCTTTAAATTTTACCAAACGGTTTGCTGAAGGCTGATACCTCAGGTAGAAACAATATAATACTGATTAAATTCTTGATGGATCCTTTAAATACCACAAGAGAACAGTCATCTCAGTGGTGCTTTCAGGATCACATCTGAAGAGGTAAACAAGCCTAATAATTTAAATTCAGGATATGAATCAAAAAAAAATCTATTGAAAATAAGATTAAACATCATAAAAACCAGTCTTACTGTAGGTTAGTTGGAAAAGCTGAAGTGACTTTCTAGAAAGTGCTCTATATTATAGAATTTCAAATGGAATATCCCATGTTAGCTTTACAAAATGTAGGGGCAGGACCATGTTGTGCATGGATTGAAAATACACACAAAAGCAAGCATTGCATAGTTTCCAGGTATAGAGACTTAAGAAAAGAAACCCATACCATTTCAGCATCTGCTGCTTGTTTCTGTTTCTCTTCTTTTTCCCTGCAGAAAAGTTAAATTAGTTTTGAGTCAGTTCAAGTGTGGTCAAGCAAGCAAAATCAGGCACTTCAGTTGATAATGACTTACTGCTTAGCTCTTGCTTTTGCTTCTACTTTGTTTTGTTTCCTTTCTTCATTCTTCTTTATACAATACTCCTCCCTGCAATTGAATATAAGCTAATATAATTTAAAGTATTCTGTTATAATTACTTTGTAAGACATCAGTAGACAAGAAGCCATTGAAATTACTTTTCCGCGTTGAGGTGCTATTCTCCAAAAGGTACAGCTATCAATACCTGTACAACAGTTTAGAAACTTACACTTCCCGGGTCAAGCCAGGCTCTTGTCTAAATCCACCCTTTACCATTTTTAGTTCATATATCAGTTAAGAGGACTTACTTGAAAAGTACTATCAGCTCTGTGTCTTTGTACTTTTGATTTGGTATCTCTGTGAACTTCTTAGCAGATTCAACACTATCAAAAACTGCAAATATTGAGCCCTGTTAAATGGCAAGAGACACTGAATGTTAGAGTAATTGAACAGAATGCTGTCCAGGGAGGATCCCTGCCCCAGGTTTAAATGTTCATTGCAAGAGTTACCTTAAATGTTCTCTGCAATGTTCTCCTCATTTGAATGTTTTCAACTGGACCTTTATCTTCAAGCCATTCTTTGATATCATCAAGAGTAGCATCTAGTGGAAAGCCTTTCTGCAAGATAGCAATGTGCTTCAATTATATTATACAAACTGACTCAGAAATTACAGCCTATTTGGTATGAGTTAATTTAAGCTTTACTCAGATGGCTTTCAGTCTAAGTCATGCAGAACAGCACAGAGTAAAAGAAGAAATTTACTTACAACATATACAGATCTGTTTTTAATTGCAGCCTTATACTGGTCATTTAATTCAGGAAGGGGTTTATTTGGAGATCTTCTGATTTTAGTTTTGTCGTCATTTATTTCCATTAAACCAGTCTTGGATTTTCTTAGTGCTTCTACAATAACACTAAAATCTTTTGAAAGGCGACTTAACCTATTGAGTAAGCAGACACAAGTTATTACAAATATACAGGCAAAGCTGAAGCCAGATGTTAAAACAGCAACGGGATTTGTGCATGCACACCGGGAACACTTGGCTACAAATAGAGATAAGTAGCTAAAAGTTACTTTTCTAGCCACATTAGTTGTACTTTTTTTTACCTGTTGAATTTGATCATTACGTCTAAAGGTACCCAGCCATCATCTAGTTTGATCTGTTCTTTTAGGAACTTGTCTCTTGGTAGATTGTGATTGCCAAAATAATACTGCAAAAAAGAAGGGAGGGGAGGAGGGAAGAGAGATTTGTCCTGAAATTTTCGGCCTTAAAAGCTCATTTTCATCTGACATCTTACTGCAGTAGATTGAGACATATCAAAAGTAATTACTCTGAATAATTAGAAATTCTGAAATTATTACTTCCTGCTTTAATGTGATACTTTGCCAAAAGTGAGCTGCAACATGTAAGCTGTAAAAAGAAACAAACACACAAGCCCTGCCAGAAACAAACAAATGCCACAGCAAGCCAGTGCTTCATCCAATGAGACTAACGAGACAAAGACAGACTGCAGTTTTATTTAGGAAAGGAGCAAAGCTTATTCTGTTAACATCATAAGCCTCTATCACCCAGATCAAGCTCTGCAGAGTCAAAAGTCAAATTTGTCACCAACAGATTCAGGCTTTACTCCTTATTTAAGGAATGTATAAGCAAGAATATGGTATTTGCACACTGAAAAATCACATACATAAACTGGAATTTCTAGGTCTCATTCAACAAAACACCAAAAGATAAAAAAATTTGTTATTTTAAATTTAATCTTTATTTTTAGTTTTATTTAGTTACTGTGTCCTTATTTTGATCTTGTCCAACATGGGCAGTTCAAGGCAGACAGGCTAATCACATTCTTCTGCTAACTAGCAGTCATCTAACTAGTGTCAAATACTTGAAGCCATAGGAGAAGTTGGAATGTTCCCACCAGTGTCACGGTGCCTTAAAAAGTCAGGGCAAGTTTTACAACAACACCTCTCCTTCTAGTATACCTCAAATTCACATTACCAAAAGTCTAATTTTGTCAACTATTTTTTTCTCAATCTCTGTGTTTGTTATTTATAATGGTTCCATAGGGTATTAGGCATTCACGTGCAGCTATACTTTTATCTTTCAGGAAAACAGTTTTGTTCTAGATGTCATTTTAAGTGATGGGCTCATTTTTTTTGTTGTAGGGTAACCCCCCAAGCCTCTAGAGAGAGAGAAATAGTTAATCCAAAGCAGGCACGGAAGTTTAGTTGTAATTTTTAGCAATAAATTACAAAGCAGTAAATCACAATAGCAAGTTATGCAATGTGTGAATATTTTGAGCAGATTCTCGAATAGAAGGATTTTCCCCCAAAAAAATTAAGGTATATAGAATTAAAATTCAACCTTCTTCTAT